AGGATAAAATAATGAAATATACTTAACTCGGCAATTTACACCTACTAGCCGTATAGCCAGACCGTGTATATTTATCACATGCTCGCCAACTATACAACAGCGACACGACAACTATTATAATACAACTGGAGAAAACCAGTTGCTGTCCGATCGATCGCCTCGGCCAACGGTAATTGCAGGCTCGGCCTCCGCTGTCAATCCGCTGGGATAGGTTATCATCCGAGTACTATAGTATATATATATATATCTATATATCTACATAAGTACATTATGTTATATTCGGGTTGTTTGATGGACAAGCCAGGGAAATAATAATAATAATACAACGTTTCGGGCTAATGAAAGTCTCGAACGGCCTCAGTTACCGTTACATCTTTAACACTTGATTAGCTAGGTATTGAAGCAATGAATCCTCTATCCGGCCGGATCTCTTCAGAATATATCTAATCAAATACCTTCTCGTTACAGTAATGTGGCCAAATCGAGCGCACCTTCCCTTCCACGGCCAGTAGGGTAGGTCTATAATACATGATCTCCGCCATAGTGGCTTAATTCCATAGTATATTTGGCTTAAGTATAATCATAACGTCATGTTATATAACGTTTAGGAGCATGGTGCTTTCATGCCGACAAGCTCTATATAGATCTAGAAATATAGTTATGATAGTTTTAATTATCAAAACGCACTCATATAATATGACAATAATGTTTCTTTTCCCTTTTTGTCACTATATTATGACGTAATGCACTTGAATAATAATGCAGTTATTTTATTTTTATTTTATTATAAACGCATGACCGGTTACTTATAATTAGGCTGAATTATACTGTCGGTCCGCATGCTACTTGTAAATAAGTAATAATTACTCGTTGAACAATAGTGGGAAAAAATGGACTGTAGTAATGAAAAAAAAAAGAATAATAATAATGAGTAGTTTGTGAAACGGCTAGACCACTACAGTCGAATGTCGAATTTTTGACCAGTCATTTTATGTAATGTTTTTTTTTACATACACACTCATCGTTTGTATAGTCTCTTATATGGAAAACTTAAAAGGGGGGGGGGGTTAAATTTATAAAAACGTGTACCATGTCGCCGTGTTGAGGTTTTACTACATCTGTTCACACGGTAATTTATTTTGGGATATCGACCATATACTTAATTAATACTGTGATCTCTCATAGTGTTCTGTAAACTAAAATTTTACAGTGGTTATAATTGTCCTAAGTTGTATTACAAATAGCTAGTACAGTATTAAAATATACACGGCTGTTTGTACAAAGAAATTACCATATTGTCAACAAATTACATAATAATTGTTGAGTATAGATAAAAATGACTTATACATATGGAAATATTAAAAATCAACATGTTATTATAGAATATCATAAAACTTAGGAAAAAGAGATTTAATATTTTTGTTAATGTATTTGGTGTATTTGTGTAAAAATTATCAAGTATAATCTTTTTTTTACTTAATTAAAATATGTATGATATGTACATTCGTTTCTGTGTTCAAAATGTAAAATATGATACAACATAGGATTAGAAATAATTTATTGGTAATTTTGACTTTTGAAAAATAAAACCAGTAAATATATTATACATTTAGCACTGGTTTATACCAAGTAGGTCAAAATAGCCAGTTTTTCCAACTTATTTATGAAAAAAATCACTTACAAATGATATTTTCAATGTTAAGCTGTAGATGGTAATTGGTAAAATTAATTAAGTATAAATATGTGTGTATTTACAGTTCATCTACAGTAAGCGGAGAATCTTTCAAATAGTTAACTAAATAATCTTTTTTGTGGATTTAAATATTAATTCTTAAGCTGACAAAATAATGTTAAAATGATCGAAGTGTAGATTGCGAACACATTTAAAGTATACAAAAAAAAAACCGCAATGACTGTATTTATTTTAATGCAATTTAGTTTTTAAAGTAATTATTACAGTCTACCGTGTAATTGTAGTTTAATTTTTACAGCAATTATATCTGTTTATAATGTAAAATAATAATTCCACTTTATTAGAACAGTATTAGAGGTTAGGCTAGGTAAAGTTAAAGGTTACAAATTGGATGATATTTAAAAGAAGGTATTTAAAGAAGTACATTTTTTTAGGTCCAAACAATATTTAATTAATAAGTAATAGCAACATGAAAAAATACCTAAATACACCACGACAAAATTATTTCATGTAAGAAAATGTACTCAACGACAAACGACTGTCAGTACAGTTTACCAAACTCTTTTGAAGACGGTAACGTTTTCACATTTATCGCCTAAGCCCGTAATAGGTGGACTACCGAATTTTGGAAAACAAGAAGGCATTTAAATTGTTTTAATCGAATTGCCGGTTTTTTTGCAGTGTGGTATATAAACTAGTGTTTGCACATGTTATCATCCAGGGGGCGCGATGGTAGCAAACATCAAACTAGCCATAAGGCTAGCCTTGTTGAATCAAACACATCAGATTCAACAAGTTGTTTTCTGTACTTGTTGTTTAAAATATTATACACCTCATTGTGTTTCCCATATGTGAAACCAATAGGTACGATTAAGACGTTTGCTACCGACTACAATCCCCCGGCAATTTTTTTCTTTTAACATTTTATTGTTTTTTCAAAATTTTACAATTTATTATGATGTTTAATAAAGAAAATGTATATTATTGTAAAAGTTTAGGTGTGCAAAACGCGCGTTACCTAGCCAAAATGTACACTTACGTTACAACTTGTGATATTTATACCACTTGAGTAAATATGCTGGCACATATTGTGTTGCTTCTGAGGTTTTCTCTCTGTATTGAATTCAATATAATAACCATTTAATACTGTTATGATAACGATTAACGGCACAGATATTAGGCGGCAACCGGCAATTGAATTGTCATATTAACACACATTGGTCAGTTTTTTATTATTATAATATACCATCCGGTTCGCGGCCTGTGCTTTCCGATCGGTATCAGCTATAATAAAATTAGGTGTATATTATTTTGTATTATATTATTATTATGTATATCGTATGTCCGGGAGGCCGGTCTTGTGATTTATAAACCTAGCAGACCCTTTATTTAATATACAATGGACCACTGGACAATTAGCATAAATAATTATAGCGTGCTTTCGAGAAACTGGCGGCGGCTACTTTTATCCGGTTTTTTTTTTACCTACCTATATAAAAATATATATATGATAATAATGTCCTCTGATGTTATGATATAATTTGTAGTTTGTTGTTTAGAGGCCTCCTCTTCGTCGTGACTATATAAAACAGATAGATAGATTGTACACGGTCGATAGAATATTTCAACCTACGCGAAGACGAATCGACTCTTCTGTATACATAAAATATGTAACCAATATAGCTGCTGCTGCTGTTGTTGTTGCAACTCGCATGATAATATTAATTATAAAAAAATAACTGCAGCCGAAAAATAATTTCTGGATGATTAAACAAACATGAGAAAACATTCTATAAACGTTACACACAGATATATATATATATATATTATAGGAACTCGACGGTAACGCAAAAACCATCTCATAATATTCCAATAAATTTCCCGGGCTCGTTCAAAACATATTATCGTAAACGTCCACCGCAAAACCGCTTTTTAAAGCATATAATTTTGCCCGTCGATTTAATAATATAATATACAGGGTGTTCTATAAATGATTCGACCAAAAAAAAAAATGTAAAATAGTTATTTCATTTGTCGAACCATTATGGGACACCTTGTATACATTAAATATGTTTTTTTCTCCTAATATTTTTTATGCCAAAAACTAGTTTCTATATTGCGTGCGGTGGCTTAAGTTTTATTTCAACCAAGCCATATAATATTATTTATGAATTCCTATAGGCATAATAACGCTGGGGCTTCATACGGGAAATATATTACAATATCATAAGTAATTACACCGTTTGGCTGACTAATTTCGTTTTGTATCAGATGTATCAGGCCTTAGAACATTCTTGTAAGACTATCACGTTTAGCACCTCAACACGACTAATTTATATGATTTTGACTTGAAAAAAAAAACAAGTTTTCTTCAAAAATATTACACTCATCTCTTTTGCCAACATAAAAATAGGTATTGCAGGTGTATTTTTTTATTTTTTTAGGGTCATGTTGGATGTATAAATAATACAATATTATTATAGTATTCAACTTGTCTTTGATAAATGCAAATATATTGAATACTTGCAAATATATTAATACAATTTTATTACTTCGATATTGTTTCAACGTTTATGAGAGTCGCCGCTATTGATTCGATAATAATATAATTGTAGAAGATACTTAAAGTCTCTGATCAAACGAAAGCAAAAATATTATGTTGCTAATTAATTTGGGCATCCTTTCATAATGGAGCATTGCCTCTATACTTAGGTGGTGCAACCCACGTAGTCCTAAAGTCACACTATTTCACATTAATAATAACTAATTTAAATTATTTTATTGAACATCTACTGATCTACATTACATACAATTTTACCATACTACGCAATTTTAAGTACATTTTTTTAATTTTTGTATGAGCACAGTTTGGGAACCGTTATATTTTAGTGAAGTTTAAACAATAACGGGGTTTACTAAGGAGAGAAGTTTTTTGAAGAAGAATGTGTTTCAATATCGTAACATATTTGAATTTAAGGCTTTAGAATTAATACAATTTTTATAATATTATTTGTTGTCATTGTGATAAGGTAATTAATAAGTTTATACACCTACTTGTCTTTTATACTCATGTTATTAATATTACAATAGTTATTAAGATCTTGTAAAAAGGGCATAGCCCGTCAAAACTTAAATAAATAAATAAATATGTTAGTACTTTTAAAAAAAAGAGACATTAATGTAGTTTATGTATTAAAATGATTTTTTATTCTACTGGTTTGGCTCAACAATACATTTTTATATGATTATATTTCTTACCATTGAGTATATTTAATTTATTTGGTGTTTATTTTTTTTTTTTTTCCAGGCAAGTGTGTCGCAATTGCAGTTGTCCTCGAGACGACCACGACCGACAGGCACCGTCTTCGCAGCAGCAGCAGCAGCGACCTCAACCGCAGCTGACACAGTCGGAGACGACCGCAACCATGTCGGCGTCTCCGGGGGGCATCAACAGGGGTACTCCTCCTCCCCCGTTGCCCCCTTTGCCCACGGGTCCCCCGGGATACGACCAGGCGCTAGGGGGATACGACAAGCTCTTAGGCGGCGGTGGTGGGATTGGCACCTCGGTCGGCCGCAAAGACCCCGGTCACCACGGTCAACATCACGGGGTAGGGTCGTCCACGAGCGACCCTCATCAAAGGCATTCGCACTCGGACGACGATTCCGGATGTGCCCTCGAGGAATACACTTGGGTACCAGCCGGCCTCAGGCCCGACCAGGTTAGTACATTACTGTTTTTAATCGCTAAACTGTTGCTGAATTGGCATTAGCAAAAGGAAAGGAAGATTAGATCTGTTAAGATGTCTACCGACCAGCTGTGCGTAGCTTCTTCCTTCTTCTGTCTCCCTGTACGGTTTATCTACAAATATACAACAGAGTGCATCACAATTGTAATAATCATATTACGCTTAGATTGTTAGAGCCGGTTAATTACTATGCAAATCTCTTAGCGTGTATTATAAAAATATACCTAAAGAAATCAGAGATTGGAAAAGTAAAAATATCTATTGGCAATCTCACACAGCTATAAATAGTATATGTTCTAAAGGCTTACAACTGAAATCGTTGTAAGTTTGTCGGGATGACTATATATGATAATAATATCACCATCTCAATGGCATTTGTGCATTTCCAGGGGCTTGGCCGAAGTAATGTAGCGCATCTGCTCGGCGTTACGTCTCATTAGACAAAACAATAATAGTAGTGGGAGGTTTGTTTTGTATTCTGTATACATTGTCGGTTTATTTGTCTTTTATAATACAGTCCATTTGTACAAACCAATGTAGTCCCTGGAGAATTGTTGGCCGCCGACCTTTCACATAGCTGACGGTACGGTTTGGATTTCGCTTTTTACAGCAATTGGGTAATAATTATTGATAATTCAAATTGTATCCAATACAGCAAGGACCACCCGGCACGATCGTCGATCATATTATCATTATGATCGACTGCACTGCATAACATCAGAGTTTGTATACTTGGCTGGAGGGATACACGTCACTTATAGAACACAAAACTCGTTTGTTTTTGTGAATTCTGAGGCCTAAGCAATCGGTCAGGCTTTACAAGAGTCGAACACGTTCCAAAAACGGATACCAATACTGGTTATGCCGAATACCTGTCTAATTAGCTTTGTGTGTGTGTGTATTTTGTTTTTAAATATAAATAATATGTAGATTAACACATAGTCCGTCCAAAATCGATAATAATAATTATCCAACGCGTTTCAGACCACACGTTAATAAAATATACATAATTACAATGATAATTATTTTAAAAAATCTACGAGCGAGTGTTTTACAAAAAAAAAAAAACGCTTGCTCATCTCTTGTTTATACAAACAGTAAAGCGCTGTAATAAAATTATTAACAAACAAATATTTAAATACAAAAAAATAAAAAATGGTACATGACGCGAGTAAAAGGCGACTATTGTACGATGATAACCCTTTTTTAAAAAATATATATATATATATTTCCTACGAGTATTATTCATCCCCCACGGCATCCTGTACATTTCCAAACAGCATATTATATAATAATACCGTGCACTAACCACAATATATTGTCGAGCAAGCCCTAAAAAGTAGTATTTTTTATATATATACATATTATACTTTTTTCTTGACTATTCACTTTGTATAAACGTTGTCGTCTGCGGGCCGCGTGTAAACGGCTTTTGTTCGTTTATATTATGATGGATGAAAAAGAAAATTTGTTTTTCTACAATATACATATAGTAATACATAATAATTTAAGTACACACAACGCGAGACACCGAGTCCGATTGCGGTTTTTATGTAATATCCGACTGTAGGATATTCTTCAATCCAAAAGAACAAATACCTTTTTGAAAAAAGATGTTCTATTCATTTCATTTCATACCTACCTACGCTTTGGAAAAGAGATGTAAAAAAAAAAAACCAGTGGTGTATTGAAAATCACACGAGTAATGAATATTAATTAGTTTAGACACATACCTATTATACCTGGCATTGTGCTGGCGCGGTCAGAAGTCATCGTCTCGGTAATGAGATTTAATGGCATATTGTTTATTTTGTTAAGGCGAAAAAACACAAAAGTCTTAATGAAGTTTACACTAGTTCTCCTCGTTGCCGTTTGCTTGTAAAAGCACCCAAGTATTGTTAAGTCCAACACACGACCAGCTACACGGTTAGAGGCGGTACAATGGCGACAACACAAGCTATGTGCCATTGCTATTATATTATATAAAACATGTAGGCACGCATTATTAAGTTCCTTCGGTAATTGTGATAGTCTCGAGAACCGTTGAAGTCTTAATCTCAAAAACCATATTATGTAACCTTATTTCAAGTTTTTTTATTAAGTTGTAAGTAAAGTGTTAAAAAATATATGCTCGAGGGAAATTTCATACAACTGTTTTTTGAAGATTTTTAAATATTTGAGAGAATTTAGCTTCCTAAAGCATCCCCTCTACTTTGACTCAATGTCCACCGTATAATATGTTAAACAAAAAAAATATGAAGAATATATATTGGAATCGCGTTAAAAGAAAGGCTGAGAGGAAAGGGGGGACAGGGGCTTGGGGATATAAACTGAAGAATGGACGGATAAATAGATGGACTTTTCTCAAAGGATAGTTGAACATTTTAATAACATAATATAATATATTATAAATTCATAGTCAATAGACAATAAATACAACAATATTAACCTAACCTAACCTACCTATGAATAACGGTAACAAATAGCCACTTTTTTTTTGTAATTTAATTATCTGTACATATAGCTCTATTAGTTAATAATATTGGGTTAAAACACTATTCTCAATACAATCGACATATGTTTTCTGGTAAAAATATACATTACAACCTAACCTAATATCCAATGTATATAATTATTATTGTACTGATTATAGAGCATGTTGTGTCTGGTACGGCAACCCAAGCATAATATTGAGCAGTGCACTTTATAAATTACACCTATACCGAGAAATGACCTAATTCCGCAACTTGGACTATATTCGGTGCTATTATATAGGATATCGGCTATCATATGTGACTATCAAGCAATAATAATTATAGTTAATAACGTTACACTTTCGCCGGCAAAGCAATTAGCTGCCAAGAAAGAGTAAAAACTGCATGTCAGATCAGTCCATAAAATCGATTACGGTCAACGATAAGAGTTTTGATTATTATTATTTTTTATTAGGCAAGTCCAATAAAAAAAATGCTTGGTAACAAGTCCAAAATCACAATGCTTTGCTGGCAATCCGGTGGGTTCTTTTTCATAGACAATTCCATAACGCTATACGCCATATTAATGACTCGGAAATTGTTCGGGACGTTGGAAAATATGATTTCGATAGAAGATATTATTATTATTGCTGCCTACCCGCTATTGGTCCATCTCATCAGGTCCGGATTGTGAATGCCAAACCTTTTACGGATACAACCTCTGTTTGTACCACCGCATGCCGATCCCATATAATTACATACATTCACACAGATACTATAATATATTGTTAAGTCCAAACGGCAGACTATAATGTGTAATATAAATTAACCATCATAATGATATCCCTGGATTGTATATTATAATCCCATCGGTCATTGCCACTCGCATGCACTATAGAGAGCACTATCACCATCATATAAATATACTTGGAATACACCGGTACATTGTTTTTTCCTCTTCTATAAGTATAATATGAAAGTTAGAGATAATGGCCGAGTACAAAAGAATATCCAAGCAAGTTTAACCTTACAAAATATTGTTTTTTTTTTTAAATAATCTACTAGGTAGGTTATTTAATCGTTTCTCCTGTACATATACTATTCAGAGCCCAAGTCCAAGTTCAGGCCAAGAGCAAAGGCACTTTCGACCAATTCATTCTAACGTCGCGTGATCATCCTTCTTAGCGTGCACCGCATAATATTATTACCATCTCTTCTTTGCTATTTGTCGTACGACAGGTGTTATTGTGTTCCATGTCGTCGCCAGAGGTTTCTCTCTCTATGTGTAAAGTATACACAGCGGTTGTAATACGTGAACACTCGCATGCACGCCATAAACCGTATATTATATTCATATGTATGTATTTTTTTCCCAAACTAAACCGGCCGTCGGGTATTTTTTATTATTATGTATATATTATATATATATATATTTAATTTTTTTTTTTTGTAATTCTCCAGTTTATCCGAAGGTACAAACCAAACGGACGCGGACTCACGCTACCCAGCGGGTGTACCCCGACGACCGCTTTATTAACATTAATCATACCGGTAATTGCTTGAAAAGAACAGAAAAAAAAAATATATATATATGTACATAAAAAATGCCTCTCGGTTCGTCCATTGGCGTGTGCACGCCCCACATTCTGTATGCAGTTTTTACCCCGAGGCAAATTACCCAATCTATAATTATTATTATTACACGCAGGGCTTATATGGTTTTTTTCTTCAAAGCACACATGTCGTGGTGTCTTCGGGTGGTGGTGTTCGGTAAGTAAGAGCTGTTTTACTGTAGGTACACTTGAAACAACGTTTAAGCCTTCGTAACTATGCGTTTAATACAATCGGATTAACCGGTAGGCATATTACAGACAAATTGTCTTTAGGTAAAGGGACAAGGTCAAAGACCAACAGCGTTAATTGTACAAACAACTAACGAGTCGCAGTTGAAGTGGTTGGAATGATTTTTGTACAATTTTCGAGGAGAGCAAATTTAATTAATTATTTCCCATGAGTGTTCTTCTCGCGGGTGGTAGTGTTTTAATTGTAGAAACATAGTAAAAACATGTTAAACAGTAATTTATAAAAGTTTTTTTTTTTTTATAAAGAGCAATTTGATTGTGTTATGAAATGTTGTGCAGTAATATTGTTGTTGTTGGAATGGCTGCAAATATTTGCGATGAATGCGTTCGGTTAGATTAGGTTAAGTTAGCTCAAGGCAGTAGTAAAGTCAATAACTTTGTAACTGATATTATTATTATATTAATACAATTACCGTTTACCGTTTATATAGGACTTGTGTGTTAAAATAAAGTTTTATTTAAATCTGTAGCGACATGGTTTTGAAGCTCTATGCTTCTTATTTTATTTACTATAATGCAATTGTCGAAGTTCTTGGTTATTGCCTTCGGCTACGACATGGCAGATTGGTAGTACATTTGCCATTTGCCATGTACATTTAAAACGCACATCAGTCAGCCGAGACAAATCTCATTTGTCGCCGTGTTTCGACACCGTTCGATTGTTTTCCACTGCTGCGAATCGACAGAACGGCATTAATAACACGTTCCACTCGCCCCCCAGGTATGTGTTGCGCCTCTGTCGTCCATAAATTACCGTGTAAGCCGATTAATCACACGGGTTACACACCCATTGTTAACACCACAATGATCAGCTGTTGTGCTGCTCCAGAGAAAGTCTGTTCGTCAAGCGTTGAATAATAATTGCTCGTTTAAAAGTTCAGTTGAATTGTACTCGAGCATTTAGGTGTAATAGAAATTAATCACAATCAACTAATTAGCTCGAAAAATGTCTATTAAAATAAAATAAAGGGGCTCAGTCGTGAGCGTCATAAGTAATGTACACCGGAGCCCAAAACGCATACCTCGAGTGTCAATACCCTTATTAAGGTACCTATCTCAAAGACGGGTAAACATTATACCATCTCATGTATAAGACCGGCCGTTAAGAAGTGTACATACACAACAATCGACGTGTGTCTATCAGTGTTAAGTGTGGTTTGGTTTCATCGACCATATCCAACTCACCTCGTCCAAAAGTGTAACATAATATTATTACATTTTCTCTCTTACGGTCATATTATGGTATTATACGTTGTTGTAAATGAATACGAACGTAACGAGCAATGACAAACGCATTTAGAATCCGATTGAACGGGTCGACATTTCGTTGATTTCTTTCCAAATAATCCCAACGACAACTGAATATTATCCTCTTAAACCGTTCTTCTTCGGTGTCTCTATTTTAGTTGAACGTTTGTTGTTTAGGTCTTTTGCAATGCACACGGGGTCCGTTGGTGTAACGCCCACGTCGGTGTTGATATACTTTGTTTGAAAAATATATACTGTGTAGTTTTTGCATTTAATTTATTGTATTCCAATTTTGTTTGCCCACAGGTACACCTTTACTTTGCGGGCGTGCCAGAAGACAAGGTACCGTACCTGAACTCGGTGGGTGAACGATACAGGGTGAGGCAGCTTCTGCAACAGTTGCCGCCACACGACAACGAGGTGCGGTACTGTCGCGGTTTGTCGGACGAAGAGCGCAAAGAGCTCAAGTTGTTCAGCGCACAGCGGAAACGCGACGCCTTGGGTCGGGGCACGGCCAAGCAGCTGGTAGCGTCCGTACCGTGTCAAAATGTAAGTCAATGATCGATACAGGGTGTCCCAAAAACAACGGTAGGCTGTCGAACGGCTGAAACTTGACAACTCCATCTTTCGTTCAAGCCCTACCGGAGCGCTGCAGTAGGCCCAATACCGCACAACCTACAGCCGCTTGAAACCCCTTACCGTTGTTTTTGAGACATCATAATCATATTAGAGTATACGTCTAATAGATAACGGATAAACGTAGAAAATTCAAACGGAAAGTTACACACAAAGTTCTTCTCCCCGGCATTCCTATTAGCGTTCCAATGGACGTTGGACGTTACTTGAGAGTATAAAGTCTTTGCGTCGTCAAAGACAATAGGTCTTCTTCGACCGAGCGTTTGGAATAATGTGACATTTCTCAAATGTTGATCACAAAATACGCGTCTACCCTCGTTTGATGAGGGTGGCTACCACCCCGCCACTTGGTAAAGCACCGATTGTCTACACCGGAAATCCTTGGCTCGCTTTCACGCTTAACGTGTCAGCCCATAATGATCGAATCCATTATAGTTTCGTCAATCCGTGGAAAAAAAATCAAAATAAAAATCAGCCACCACCACCCGTGTGGTGATTACCTCATTTTCCAATCTATAATCGCGCATTATGCGCCCATCAGAGTTTTTGTGACAGTCTCAGTTTTGAAAAAGAAAGTATGAAAATATGTATTGTTTTGGCGTTGCGTTGATGGTTAATCAAGTGCGTTTCGGGTGGTTTTTCCCATTGAAAAAAAAAAAATAATCAATTCCCAAACGAGCAGAACAGGAAGAAAAATGAAAACAGCCGTCCCATTAGTATAGTGTATGGTGTTTGTAAACGAGACGGCAGCGATAAGTCGAGTTAACAAATGTGTTTAGATAAATTTTCGGCCAGTACTTTGGGCGAGAAAAGCGACGACGACCGAGTTAATGATTTGTTTGCGTCGAGTGAGAAAAAAATAATAATATCTTGTGCCGGTAAGACGTTTGAGATGTAATTTTTAAACGAACTCGTTAATTTCGACGGTTGGATGAGTCGTTATCTCTCGACTGCTGCTGACCACTCGAATGGATTTATTGCCGTGAACATTTTAAAGGGTCTCCTCACTCCTTTGCCGGTTAGGTTAAACCCCGACGTCGTTTTTGGCAAATCACACGTGTGCCCGGCCACACGACCAGCAGCAGAGGGATGGCAGCAGTAAGCAGCAGAGGGTGTTGTGTGGCAATTACTACCACCGCCGTACAGCCGTCACCGCCACCGGGTTTAAAGTGTTTTTAACGTGATTTATAGCGGAAAAGAAGGTAAACCAGAGATACAGATATAGCCGAGAGAGAAGAGAGGGACACAGTAGCGAGCAGAGAACCACCCTCTGTCCCAAAAGAGTTATTATTTGGCGGCCGACGACGACGACGAACAATGGCAACATTATAACGGCGGCTGTATAGGGGAGTTGTTGGCGTTTTGCGCTTTCCCCGGATAAGGACGGCGGCGAAGATGCTTTACCCCCCAAGCATACCGGAAAATCCGACTTAAGCCCCCGTAACGGGTTTTTCCCTTATAAATTCCTGTAGGGCAGATATTTTTATCTGGTCGATTACCGCGGAAATTATATGGTTCGGCATTCTTCCACTTCGATTAGGTTGTTTCAACGTTCACCCCAACGTCAAGAAACGTATACAGGGTGTCCCGTTTTAAAATACTAATCGATTTTTCTCTAAAAATACTAATCTAATCAAATAGTTGCTTATTAGAGACTTTTAGAGTACAAAGGGGGACGTTATTAAAAAAAAAAAAATAGGGTCCAAAATTAAAAATGTCCGACTTACGGTCAAAAACATGTTTTTTTTTAAATGGAAACCATGTATTTTTTGTTAACCAAACAAATGTCCTTATCAAAAATAACAACTTTTGTAGGAAAATTTTTTTGGTAAGACCCATAATTTTTAAATTAAGTATGCATATGGTAACCGTGTCATGTGCGGTAACCTTGGTATGTTTATAATGTTTTTAACCTAACCTAACCTTACCATTACATTATCATTATCTTTATCGTTAACGTTATCCTCTTTTCTGTGTATCACAAAGACAAAAACCATGGTTACCACATGCATCAAAATAAAATAACAAAACTAAAAATAGCTAAAGATACTTAATTTACAAATTATGGGTTTTACCGAAAAAAATTTCCTACAAAAGTTGTTAGTTTTGATAAGAACATTTGTTTGGTTAACAAAAATTACATGGTTTCCATTAAAAAAAACAGTTTTAGACCGTAAGTCGGCCATTTTGAACTTTGGACCTTATTTTTAAACATTTTTCAACGCCCCCTTTGTACTCTAAAAGTCTTTGATAAGCAACTTTTTGATTGGATTAGTATTTTAAAATGGGACACCCTGTATATTCTCAACACATGTCAACAAATTCTTATTGGAACGACTTTTATACGATTTTAACGATTTTACAAGTAAAATATCTGCTATAATTGCGGTAAACTGAGTCATAGACCGTACCCGTGTTAATGCATAAAAATATATAACTCCGGCTCGGATTGTGCTTATGCAACGCCACAAGATTAATTATTACAGCCGCACTTCACAGCAAATAGAAATAGGTACGTACACATATATACAGCGGTGTAATTGATGGATCCAGCACGGATACTGTTTTAATTCCACGTGTGTATACCACTCGTTGCTGCATATTATTGGCTTTTATACAAGATTATACGCGTTTCATATATAATATGTTTACCACTATCGATGGCAATTAACACGGGACACGAGGGGTCAAACGTATTACATTTGAATAACTGTGTGTTTTTTGTCTGACAAGGAGACGGTATTTAAACACAGCATAACCACTAATGTGTTGTGAACGCCGCTTTCGCGTGTCTGTAAAATCTTTACTTAACCTTTATTTCTCAGCCGGTAGGTATGTGTCGACGTCGTGCATGCATTTGATTGACCAATGAGTGTACAATATTCTCTGAAATCAAGTACTTTTAACGTCCATTGTTTTACTTTGAGAAAAGTCAATGTATCAAACACAAGAGTCTAGTAAAAGTTGGGCGGACTGAAAATTCCTCGGTTTCAGAGAATCACACGCCCATATGGTGGCGTTTGTACAAGTTGGAAAAACGGTTCCATATAATAAGCTAAAGTATAATATAAAGGGGCAGTAGGTATAGAAACGCATATAACTTTATAATGTCGGCGAGTGCTTTGTTAATTAAAAGGAAAATAAAACATTCAACAAGACTCGCTCTTAAAACTCGAATAGTACATATTAAGATAATGACGGTGCTGCTTTTGATGCCGGTTCATCAGCTCGCCTTTCTAAATTAAATTAGTATGCGAAGCGCAACGCGGTTTTAATCGTCTCTTGTGTGATTTAATGAATACATTAGTTTTTACAACTGAGTTGTCGCTTTTAAAAGTAACATTTGGCCACTTGTAGAATCAAGGTGTAAACAGCTATACGTACAAACGTAGAGATAATGACGGTTTTTTTTTTTTACCTAATGTCAGTCAAATGCGTTGTTAATATGAACAGAAAACCAATAGTCTCATCTCTTTGGGAACACAACGAAAGGAATTAACAGAATGTCTAGTGGAATTTGTTTAAATTAATTAAATAAAGCTAACAAGCCTTGTATTGTGAGCCTTGTTTACATCAGCAGCTCATTGGAACGTCCAAATCAGCTTGTGCTTAGATGGAAATCATGCTAGTACTATTACAGCTGTTAACAGTTGATATATAAACTGAGTAAATCGTTTTTAAACGCACACGTTTGGTGGAAAATATTCTCAGACAACATTATAACATGTTACCGTACCGAGTTTTTCATTATTTTTGCCAATAAACGGGCAATAAATGCTTAAATAATATTTTCTCTTGATCATTTAAAAGCTTTTTTTTTTTTATAATTTTCCAGTTGCTTTGTGGGTAGTGTACGGATTGGACTTTTTTAATTAACGGTTTTCAATTAAAAACAAACCGTGCGAGCTGTGTGTGTTTACCGATATATACTGGATTTAATATCATTTTGTGTTTGTTGTCTCGACGGACGAATACTTGTTCACTTGTAAGAATAGCAACCTCTCGTGTCTAACCGTTTCCCTGTTGATTCATTGGTCTGTTGAAAACTTTTAGCGGATATTATGTGAAACAAATAGCGATGGCAATATTGTTGTTGATCATTCTGATCACGATCCAAAACTTTGTTTGGCCAACGGTTTCCTTTTGCGTTGCGCCCATTAGCAATCCACCTGGAGTATAGCTTTTGTTTCATTAATAATGATATCAAATCGGTCGGTTCTGTTTTCACTCGGTTAAGTATTTTATGAGATTCTCCTGCAATTTATCTTTCTAGCTACTGACACACTATTCACTGTGTTCTGCGATCTGCTGGGTTTTTTTTTTATTTCCACGTGAAATCCGCACCTTATCCGCACAGCAATATAAACTATATAATTTTAATACCTACTTATCGGTTTGTGTTATATTTCAATGGTCATAAAAGTGCGTATCCGATGGCCAGTTAACGACGCGTTAATTTCACATTACCGTTATTTATAATATTACATTGCTGGTGTATGTTTACCTTTTTATTTTTTATAGCTCTCGTTATTCGTTGTAGCTTGTGTAGAGAAGCAGCAATAAAAAAAAAAAAAATACTATGCTGGTTTAAGCTCATAAAAATATAAGCCGCCGTGTTGGCGTTTTCCGTTTTGAAATTCCATAAAAAAAAAAATAACATTATTATCTTCTACCGCAGCTTCGTTATAGTCTCAATTGACATCTCATCCAAGTCTTCAATATACATTATATCTTAACCTAAGCGCTCCACATGACCATCTCAACATTCTCATTGCAGATACTTACACATCTTTGACTCGTCCATTGTCGTTTTTGTCCTAAACACTTGAATTCAATTGATCATACTTGATTACCACTGGGCATTATATTGTCTGCGTGGACTACACAATAGAGGTGAGATGATGTTTTTAAGTGTGTTCTCGCCATAAATTTGGGGGGGGGGCCTTCTGCTGAAAGTGCGAATTTGCCTCATTCCCCTCGAACCACAATGGTCGCTTTGCATAATAAACAGGCCAGTATAGTACTTAGGAATCCGTTTGAATTACCACCGGCATCGATTGTCAATAGACCAATTCATTACACATGGCGGTAAATAGGGTGGGGAAAACGTATTTACCTCATCTGCACACAAACGACGTCGGTATCTCGACGATCTGACAAATCTACATACTGTATACAATATACGTTATAATGATATGCGCATAGGTATGCGCATTCACGGATATCATCGCGGTGCCCCCTTAAACTTTTGAACGGGATTGATAAAATTGCAGTCCACAAATGGCAGAAGTTTATCAAAAGCCAAAACCACGGTCCGTATATTGTGCACGATGCACATCCGTTGTAGTATACAGGGTGTCTGGAAAATAATAGTTGGGTCAAGAGTGCTGGGGTTTCGAACGGCTGTAGGCAGAGACATCTAGTGGCGGTCATTCGAAACTCGACAACTCTCTCGTTCGTTCAAGCCCCGCCAGAGCGCGCTGCAGGTCCAATACCGCGCACACCCTGTACGGCCGCTTGAAACCCCGGCGCTGTTTTGACATTTTCACGTTCACCCTCTTGTTGTGTGCACACAGTGCCAGGAAGTTGTGCAACCCGGAGACATGGCCGTGACGGCTAGCCGAGTGGGATCCGGAGCGGCTTGGCATCCGGCTTGCTTCGTGTGCCGCGTTTGCAAGGAGATGCTGGTCGACCTGATATACTTTTGCAAAGACAACGCCATCTACTGCGGCAGACACCACGCGGAGACGCTAAAGCCCAGGTGTTCGGCTTGCGACGAGGTAACTTAGATCGATGAGATCTATGACATTTTGCGGGTATGTGTCTTAACCGATATGTTGTTCGTTTATTTCTTGCAGATCATCCTGGCCGACGAATGCACGGAAGCCGAAGGCCGTGCGTGGCACATGAAGCACTTTGCTTGTTTGGAGTGTGACAAACAGCTGGGAGGTCAGAGGTACATCATGCGAGACGGTCGCCCGTATTGTCTGCAGTGCTTCGACGGGCTGTTCGCCGAGTACTGCGATTCCTGCGGAGATCCCATCAGCGTGGATCACGGTGAGAGTGTATAGATCATTTACTACTGTATATGCCTCCACAACTTACTCTGACTTAAGAGTTGGCCCATTGTGTAAGCACATCTGGATAATTGACTCCCGAGTGCTTATAAATATTAATATGCCTGCGATAGATATGAATACGCACTTCTATTAGAGGTATTCCTGCTATTCGTTTGGAAATCGCTGGTCGGGTTTCTTTTGTTTTGTGCCAGCCACAAGCCGCCGAGTCTCGTTAGATATAATTATAATAATATGGGTTTATGCCGCCATTGTTTACACAGCACGGTCAGGAGAGGCTGGCATATATTTACACACTTTATGTATAATTTGTCAGATAATAGATATACCTACCGCGAAACAATATATTATAATAGGCGCATATTATACACAACTTCGGGATGAGCGGTACAAGTATAACACTATATCGCTACGGAATAACCATAATAACGATTAAATACCTGCAAAACAAACACCGTTCCTAACCTAACTTGTCCGGGATAATTTCTTCGAAGTAAAAGTGTATCTGTTGGATTTTCAATCATAGATAGTCGATTCGTAGATCTTTTGATAGTATAGTTCAACAATAAGCATAACCATTATTGTGATATTGCATTCACCGATCAGCTATATCATGGGCGGCTTGTATTTTATTATAGGAAACAATTAACCTAGATTTTGCTCTTGTTCTTGTTTTATTATATTATCTTATGTGAATAAGACCTAGTGGTACAAGGCCCGGAGTGTAACATTATATTGACCGTAAATGTCAATTATTATCATTGAAACGTTGGCCCAGACCGCCGCCACTCCAAGTAATAATAATAATAATAAAAAAAAAGAAATTCAGTGCGAGTCTCGCCGTCTATCTCGATGGTTTGGGTTAAATACAAAACAATATGTAATGTTAATCATTTACAACCACTTTCACGATTGATTGTTTTACTACCTCTAGCAACGGTTGTATGTTTTAAGGCGGTACTATGATTTAGACAATTAATAGTAACTGTTAACTGTTGAGATTAAAAGTTAACATTCAATTTTTGTGTAATATACAAAACACTTATTTAACAATTTTCTCTTTTGTCTTATTACAGGACAAATGAGTCACGAAGGCCAACACTGGCACGCGACCGAACAGTGTTTCTGCTGTCACACGTGCAGATCGTCGCTGTTGGGACGGCCGTTTTTGCCGCGCAGAGGAGCCATTTACTGTTCGATCGCCTGCAGTAAAGGCGAACCGCCGACGGCCACAACGCCTTCGGACGTTGGCAGTGCGTCCCAACAACCGGAATCGGAAGCGGCCGCCGCAGCCGAAGTGGCTGCGGCGGCTGCGGCTGCGGCTGCGGCTGCTCCCACACAACACCAACAGCAACCGGCGGCCGCCGAGCCCGACTCGCCGTCCGGCGTCAGAAGGACAAGCGACGCGTAGGTGTCCGTTTTGCGTTTTTTTTTATCAATACGTAAACGTCGGTCAATACGTTTTGTTCCCACTTGTTCTTGATCGATTAAAAAAAAAAAAAAAACAAAACGCCTAGTTAATAGTATTAAATCTTTTACCCACGGTTTAATTACTAAAAAAAAAAAAAAAAACAAACGCTTACACGCCATGTCGACGTTATAATTTATTTTCCGTTGTTGAATTTTTTATTACAAAAACTCGCACATTAAACGTGAATGTAGATTTCGTACACGGGTATTTCGAAACGTAAAATTCGAGTTTGCTTATCAGACTGATCTACAGCCGGTATTGAGAATATTATTAATTAGTAAATACAAACGTGGACCCATTTCATCGGTAATTCCCCGAATTTTCAAAAAACCTATATAGAAAACCTAGTGTAATAAAATATGTACTTGATGACCTAGACACGTTTTACAAGTTTATTATTTTTTTTCCATTTAGTTCACCATCGCCTTCGCATTCGTCGGTGACCTCTATGCTGGGACCGAGTCGATCGCCAAAATGTGCACGTGGGACGGTGCAGACGACGTCACCTTTGCGCGCAAAGCCACCATCTCCGTCGCCAGTCCATAAGCAGCGCCGACAAAGGACGCCGGAACGGTCGACGGCCGCCACTTATCAGAACGTCGCCGGAGGCGCGGTCCGCCCGATCGATCTGGACGTGCAGCAACGGCTCCCGCCGCACCGGAACCGCAGGCGGTGTAACGACATCGTGCAGGTCGAATCCAGAAGCGTGGTGACGGTGGTCAACGATCGGCGGCAACGGAAATTCTCGGCCAACGACGACGACGTCCACCAAGACGGTTTCGACGACGAACCCGACGGCGGTAACCGCCTGGACGACACCCTATACGGCCTGCAGCGGCTACTCAGTAACGGCAAACTACCTCAGCGGTTCATCGAGAAACTGATCAGCGACGACGACATCACGGACAGGCTGCTCACCGAATTTGAAAAACTGACTGCCGGCGAAAACTGTTCATCTTCGCCGTCGTGGCAGTCGAAAACCACCGCCTCGCTCGAACCGCCTCCGCCGATGGCTGCCATTGAACAATCGCACACTGACCTCACGGTTTCGCCCGGCAGACGGAGCGTCCGATTCGATGCGGCGGCCGCCGCGGCGTCCGAAAACAGTGGGCCGTCCCGTCGACGCGGCCGCGACGGCCGCAGCAGACGACGGCGTCCACCTCCGCCACCGCCGTCTCACCCTGACGACCGGATGCGTCCGTCGTGCAGCAGCAACCCGTTGTCCGCCGACGACGACGATTCGCACAGCTGCTGTTCCACTTGCTCTTCCAGTTCCGGTAGCGAACTGGACGACCTGTCCGTTTACCGGTTGCCACCTAAAAAACCGTACGGTCTAGGCAATGGCGGAGCAGCGAAAATATCGTACGTGGTGCCCAACGACGCCATTGCTTACGCCAAACAGCAAGCCGGTGCCACCGGACAGAAGTCTTCATCTCACGGTGTCGGCGCCAGAAGACCGAACGGCACCAGCGCCGCCAATAATAACAATAGCCAACCATTGGACGATAAAAACTGTAGCATTCAGTGAAACTAATTGTCGGTCTACTTAAGTATCGATACAAAACACATTGTATACAAATTATGTTTTAATATGAATTTAATTTTTAAGCATTATTATTGTTTGTAATTATTATTATATTATATAGTGTAAACATATGGTCTTCCGTGGTAGAATCGTAATATGTCATATAATATTATGTGCTACTCGTGTGTGTTGTACTTGCCAGTTTTCATGTTTTCTTTTGAATTATATGATATTTTTAATTTATAAAATAAATATAATATGTTGAAATAGTTTACTTGGCTAAGACGTTTTATAGGTCTTTTTGATAAAAAAGACATATAAAACCTAAACCTAAAACCCAAAACTTTGACCTAAAATTTTAATTTTAAATTCAAGACAAACAAAATGATTGTATCAGCCAAAAAAACACCACATGTTTAGTTATTTGATACCATTTTGTCCTTTATATTAATTAAGAGGTCGTGTTAACAATAATTTACTGTAAAAAGATGACATGTCCTTTAATCAGTTTTTTGTCTAATCTAAAAAAAAGGAACAGCGGACTCGTCCCCTTTGCGAAGTTAACGATTCGTTTAAGTCATCTTTAAGTTACTAAAGAAATTAATAGACATAAAACAAGCATAAACCAAAAATTGTATGACACTCGACAAAATATAATAAAATACAATTACTAGTTCCTACTAATCATAATGTCACTACTACTTGGAAACATATTTAAGAAAAGAATATGTTGTTATTTGCTTAAGGGCGCTTTATTTCGATTTTTGGTCAAGTTTCATTCCTTGAGTGTGTAAAATAAAAAACATGCTTTTAAAAAAAAAAAAAAAAACTAAAAAGTATAAAATTATTTTACTACAAGAACGGTTAACCAATCAATTGCAGCACATTTTATTTAAGATGACAATTACTTTGAAAAAAACTACAATTTTAAATAATGTTAAACATGATTAATTTTTTTTACTAAAAAGAAAAGCGTGGGCCCTCATAAATTTATCAGATAATGTTTTATATTGTAAGTTTTTTTTTGTAATTTAAATTTGGTTCAATTTTTAGTGCGCGACACGTACATTTCATAATACTTAACTCGATGAATTTGGACGTTGTTGAGTAGGAACTCAACCCTATTTTCCGAAAATAAATTCAAACAAATATTACTCTGCCGATTTTCAAGATAGGAGAACGATTTTGATCTTTAAAATATGTTTATAGCAACTTTGTTGTTCGTAAAATGAATCAAAGATAAATAATAATTATTCTAATAACACTATTCATGTTATATTATTATAAAAACTTAAAATATATACAAATTTCACATTGCAGTCGAGGGTTTAATTAGTAATGAGTAAACAGTAGGTAAAAAATTAACGGATAAAAATAAATAAAAAGCTAGGTAGATAAGTGTCTACTAGTGACAGGAGATACAATGTAGATTATAGACCTATTTTAGATATCCATACATGAAACAACTTTTCTAATAATTACAAACCGAGATACCTAATGGCAAATGCAAACGGGTGACGTCCTCATAACCAATAATGGTAATAAAATTGCGACCCATAGGATTTTCTTAATATTTAAGCATTATATCGCCAAGTTAGGCATTGGCTTAGTGGCCGCTGTTTCCGATTGTTAATGCGAATTTTTTGTCGAAGATGTCTCTCGCCTGTAATGTTAAGAATGTAATTAAGGAACTATGTATAATACTGTAGAACTAAGACTAACCTTAGAATTATTTTTTAAATTTATAACTTCTTCTTTTTTTGTACTGAAATCAACTGCAACAGTATATCAACTGCTTTATAATATTATATATGTTCGAGCACGATTTCCCCTAAGTCTTCTTCTCCATCTCGGTATATCTTCTTTTCTGAAACGCACACAACTGTATTACACTCTAATACTGTTGAAAAATCTAAAAACTACCGGCTATCATTTTTGTACTTACCAAATCTTCTATTTGGTTAGTTAACTTTGGATGCCTTAGTTATGTCTCGTCACCAATCTTTACAAAATCCATAAGCTGAAATGCATACAACAATATTAATGTTATAATAATTAATTCTAACTAATTAGTGACCATCAAAAGTAACCACCAACTCTGACCAAATCTGGCCATCGTCAAGCAATAAGACAAAATATGTCAACACTTCAAACACTGCCAAATTACATTGTTTCATTAGCAAATGGTGCACTAAATCCCAGACCTTGGACAGCTTATAGGCTGTGGCATAAATATTTAACAGAAAATTATGGTTACTATAAAAGATCCCTGCGATAGGCTGGAAGAAAAAGTCCTAGAATATCTTAAACGAGTTTTTCCCCTTTGTCATTAAATAAGATGGATAACGGAATTTTTAATTATAAAATAATTATTTTATACTAAATGAGTTTACCAAAAAAAGTAACTAACTGTATGAATTCCGATCTCATATAAGTATTCAACACAATTATTACAATAACACATTTGCTTTAATCCAGTTTATTTATAGAGTTGTGTTAAAATGGCTTTTTATAATTTATATTGTCATTTTTATACAACAATAATTATTACTACTTTGTTTAGTTTTCACTGTACCTATTTGTACTTATTTGTACGTTTGTAGGTCTATATTCAGAACATGTGTAATGTGTTTTTTTTTTCAAAAACGTTTCAAGACGAGATTCATTAAGGGTCGATAACCCGTTTTGGACGACTGCTTTAAAACTTTAATAATTATAAATTTAATATCCAAAACTAGTTATAGACCAAACAAAATTGCCAAATAGACAAAAAAAAAAGTACTATACATAATAGTAAATTACTTACCGAATTTCTTTTCTTTTGGATAAACATACCGAGTAGTGTACCAATGCCCGTGCCGTTCACAAAAGTTGCTGTCACAAGACATGTTTGGGCAGTACAATATTTGTTAAAATAATTGGCCATGATAGCTAAAGCAAAACAAATATTACATGTATTATAAGCCAACCTAAATTGTAAATTTATTTCATATGTACACATAAATAATATTTAAGGCACCAAATCCAATAGTCATGTGCTTAGCTAAACTACAAATTATACAGAAAACGCGCATGATTGTGATTTGTGAGAACACATGAACTTTGAGCTTGGTGATTTAAAAATTCAAGTAATTCACTTACAGCCCTTGTGTTCTGAGAGCCTCATAAATATACACCACAATAATAGAACTTTGTTAGTTTAGTAAAAATGATAGCTGATGTGTACATATAATGTTATTTATTGGTAAAGGTGTTTACATAACTTACACGACATTTTATCTGCAACAGTGTACGGTACAGGCCAAAAGTTTAAATTAGTCAACTCAATTATTTTAAATTTGGTATGTAGACTGTATTTTATAGAAATCTAACAAGAAAAATTACTTGTTTAATTTCTATGAGAATATTTATCAAGTAACAAGATTTAAGGTAATGTTGTGCCATCGATAACATCTGTAATATATAATTATAAAAAATGTTAAATGTTTTGTTTTTTTTTAAGCTAACTATTACTATTACTAATCCACTAAATTATAAAACCTTCAAGGAGAGATAATTCTTTTTTTATTTTTGTTTTCTGCTTAAAACAGATTTTTTTTTTTTTTTAACAGGAAATTACAATATTCTTTAACATAGCTGAATAAATTCCAAATTTGAATGATGTTTTTCGGTTTATAACGGTATTTTTAAACTTATATTGGACCATGTTTTAAAACCAAGACAAAAGGAATATTTAGAGTTGTCTCTATAATAAAAATACAACTAAAAAAATAATAAAACAACTGTTTTTAAACTTCTGTTGTTGTAAACATTTGGTGCAAAACGTGTTGTGCTTGTTGTGTTTCAAAGAGTACCTAATCTAATCCTAAAAAATAATATGATTGTAGAAAATATGAAAACCTATTATAAGACATCATGAAATGCAATAATCTAAAGCCCGACATTAGTACTACAATTTAATTCAAACGACTAGTAATTGTTCACGATTCGTGTTAGCCCCCCCCCCCCTCATGAATACATTCGTGAAATAATCTTAATCAAAATTCTCATTAAAAATATATAATAGTGTTTATCGGTATTGGATTTATAAGTAGAAAGATAATAAAGTTATGTCTGCATTGAGAAAGGAGACGGAAAACGCTATTTATTAAGAGGCAACGTATAGGCATTATATTTTGACAAAAATTGATCTGGTAGTAGTAGTAGAGTGTATTAAAAGTAAATTTCAGAAAGTGACTTCGAGTTTTAGTCTTTGTATGTATACAATTAAACGCTTTTAATTGTCCTCAAATAAAAAAAAAAAAATGTTTTAATCGATAAACTATAATTTTTCATAGAAAAATATTGGTGCATAAAATATATTTGACCGCTATAAGACCATGAAATAATGTAAGCTAATAATTTGTGTGAAATACAATTGAATAATTTTTGTTCTGCTAGGGAGGGATGGGGTAAATATCACATAATATGGATTTCTTTACTCAAGGGGTTTTCCATATGTCAATGTATAGAAGGAGTTCCTTAAGCTTTTATGCTTTATAGTGTCTGTCTAGATACATACTGTATACGACTTATAAAGGTAAATAGGAAAGAGAATAATTTTGATTTTTGTCCAATAACAAAAATGTTTTTTATGTTTTAAAATAAGCAACGATGAGATTGAACCGACGATTCCGTGTTCCATTTATTTTCAAACTTTATAATACGATTCCTTTATTTTTTATGTTATGAATCATTAAAGCGCATTTGTTTTATTTTGCTTAGCTTAGAACGTGTATGAGTGGTTTCACTGTAATTAATTTAGTGGGTATTGTGCTTGGTTATTTACTTTTGATACATAGCAGCTATGGCTGGGCTCATATTCGTTACAATAGCAGTTGTTTTTAGTATAGTCAAGAAATATGAAAAAAATAATTTTTTTCAAAAAATCGTATCGTTGTAAAAAAAAAAATTGTATGTCAACACAACTGTGACCTCATTTCGGCATTGAGAAAAACGCCATAACATTCCGATTCGCAACTTTAACAAGAAATAATAGTCATTTTTTTTATTTAAAAAATATTTACAATCTTTGCTACAGGGCATGAAAAGCAAATAGTAACCATAATATGTATATGCAGAGGAAAACCCGGTGATATCAAATGACGAGGTGGACCATCTAATGATAGAACCTAAAGTGATGTTAAATTAGAAAATAGCACCAAAATAAAAAAACCCTAACTATATCCACCTAAAAATACAATTGTAAGCACGCAGTGCCTTTACAATAATTACCTTTAGCGATACATAATATTTGTACCACCTATAGATTCGCATCCAAGCATTTTGTACAGATGTGATTTTATTATCTATTTTCTTTTGTAATAATACTATGAAAACGGTAAAATTATCGATTTTACCATGCCCACTGTACTTAATTATACTCCGCCCCCATTAATCGCCAATCCCACTGTACTCATATTTATAGTTAGTATAAAAAGTTAAAGATCTTTTCTGTGGAGGCCAAATGGGCGATGAAATGTATTTGCTGTCAACATTTTATCACAAGTGTTTATGTTTTTTAATAAATCTAACTAATTTTCTTATAGCTTAATAAAAAACCTGTCCTGTTCCTCTATACCCCATAGAGAAAACAATAAGCTTCACATAGGAAAAAAATTGAAATCCTTCTGATAGATACTCCGTAAAATTACTTTATCAAACATTTGTCATAAGTCAATGTATCATTAAAAGTTTTATTTAAAAAAAAATTCCATTTTTTCTTCATAAAAATAGTCGGCATATTTTAAATGTCTACTAGTTCAATGATTACAGTCAATTCTATCCTATTCTATTCAGTCTATTCTTTGCTCCTTAATTAACCTAAACAAACTAAAAACATTATTACCTAGCATAGTATGAAAGAACTATGGTGAGGTGCAGTGTTCACAAATAAGCATTAAAGTGTTTATTTATATGTGATTTTCACCAAGAGGACTAGTACAGTAAGGTCGAGACATAATAGAATCAAAGCAAAAGATGGGACGGAGAGGTTACAGGACTACAGGAATTATTACTATTAAAGGTAATAAAATCACTTTTGGCATATAATAAAAGTTCTTCAAAGTCAAATACTACAAACTATGAAGATAATATTGAAATGTTTAATTGAATTTTAGTTAATACCAAAAGTAATACTAATAATCCTATCATAAAACTGTGGAGCGTACAATATTAATTGAGCTTTTTTTATTGGCAAACTAACTTTTGATATAGATGGTGCAATCCATTTTTTTTTACAGAAGACTATCGGCAAACACATTACATAAAATAAACGTAAGGTTAAGAAATATATCATAACTTTATTCAGCATTACAATATTTATCTTTGTTTTATGGGATTCATAATGGTTTAAAAAAAACATTTCCTCTTCACTGTTAATTGTTTGTCTGCATACAAATGTTATTAAGCTAATTACTAGATTTGTTAATAAAAGTTAAGGTGTACAATTGTCTTAAATTATGTTGTTTTTTTTGTGTTACTAACTGGGTATGTTCTTTTATATGTTTTATCACATAAGAAAATAAATGTTAATTAATATTGCTTTTAACGATAGTGTATATTGTAAATAATAAGTGTTTTATATAAAAAATATATTATTTTTATTTTTTAAATACGTGACTGCAGATTTACTTACCGCAGGTCTTGCGTATGCAGTATATAAAAATCAAAAGGTAACGCAATAAAAATAGTATGATCGTACACCGCAGTTATAATTATTTTAGTGATAAGAAAAAAAACCAAACAAACGTTCATTAACCGTTCCAGAATCCTAATCAGACATTTAATTCGTAATACATTTCGAAGTGAGTCTTTGGATACTGGACCCAAATTTGGCGATTTCTTACTTTGTTGGTTTACACTGTGCTTGGTTTGAACCGTACTGGTTTTTTTATTGTGTCTGAACTTACAATAACTTTGCAAAAAACGGCCAGATCCAGTGAATTGTTTTAAAGAATATTGATTAGGCACGCCTCTATTTAGGCATTGCCTTAAACCAAAATTTCAACAACCCCCCATGTTGGCATTTTATTGTTTTTTCCTTTTTTTGGCGCAATTTTAGAGTTTAAGAGTAGGAAATCAGTTTGAAGACAGGTCTAACATATACCTATCATATAATATGTATAAAAAAAAAGTATAACTATAGATATTAGTTTTAATAATAAAAAATAATGTAGTGCATATTGTGAATAATGAGCGTTTTATATAAAATAATAGGTAGTTTATAAAATATAACAGCGATACTTAGTTTCTAAAGCTGTTTGAACAAATTAGTAGAATAAGACTTAACTTACGTCAGATAATAAATTAGATACCAAATGTGTGTTTACTTTTGTGTTTTGTTATTACAAAAAAAAACAAAAATCAATTGTATTGAAAGGCGTATTCAAAGTGGTTTTTTAAAAAAAATACTGTGTGTACTTAATTGTTTAAAAACAAACAAATAACAACACTATACAGTGCTCAGAAGTTAAAAAATAATTGTTTTTTAACACGAAAACAATGTAATAGTTAATATTTTATTATCATTTAAAACGAACATGCCGAAAAATTGTTTTTTTGTTCACAGTCTTTAATTCTAAGTCGTCGTTGTTCGTACTGTTGACTCCGAGATTAGTATTTCTATTTTTCTTTTTTATTAGCTGTTGTTAAAAATGAATTTCAAAAACATAATTACCATAACAATATTATTTGTATTTATTAACTACGTGGCCGGAGGTTTAATTTCCGCAGGTCTTGCGTATGTAACACATAAAAATCAAAAGGTAACACAATAAAAATAGTATGATGATTGTTGTATAAACAAGAGTCAAGTCCAATTATAGTAAATAACTATGGTTTGTCGATCATAACAAAATAATTATTTTAGTGATAAGAAAAAAAACTAAACAAACGTTCATTAACCGTTTCTGTATCTATAACCGAGTTATCTTGTTATGATCGACAACCGTAGATATTTACTATTATTGGACTCGACTCTTGTTTATAGAACAAAATATAATTATTCAATTTTAGTCATGGGAAAAAAAAGTTTATCTTAATTTTGAATCTCTCTTTTTGTTATTAATTTCTTACTATTATATATTTAGAAAAAAGAGCTTGTTTATAGCAATAATATAATAGTATTGTAGATCTTTGGATGGTATCAATATGTTTTTATAAGTGTATTTTACTAAAAAACAAATTAATAATAAGTGAAATAAATCATTTTATTTTTTCTAGGCTAGCCAACCTAAAGTTGAAAGCGCGATAAAAGTTGACCGCGAGAAAGAAAAGGTAGTATTATTATACAAATATTAAAGGCCAACGCAGCTTACTCTAAAAAGCAGTGTGCTACATTTTTTTCACTAGATGTTTAATGATTAAACTACATTTTTGATTGGGTGAACTAATAACTATTAAATTATAAAAATAATAATTTAAAAAAATTTTATATGATTTTGACTGGGTTATAGTTACCAATCGACAATTAAATATTTTATAAATGTATATAATGTATAGATAATTAAACCATTTTAGGAATATTCAATATTTTGCTTATATGTATATTAATTATTGTATATTATAATTGATTTGAAGTCACTTACGACAATACTCAACATTGATTTTAAACTAGAGTTTTAGAGCCGTATAGAACACTAAATTTTCAATTTTGTATACATAAAATTAGCATAAAAAATCTATTATTTTTTATTTCTAATAAACATGTTTAAGTTAAAATTATCAACAACCGTAGTTATTTATTATTATTGGACTCGACTCATGTTTCTAGAATAAAATATAATAATTTTTTTAATTTAAGTCATAATTTGATCGTTTTAAATGCAACACATAATTTTAAATAACAGCGTAACGCTTTTTTGATAACACTTTTTTTGGTTATGTGCCAAAGCTAAGATTTGCTTCGAATCTAAAACAATTGGAATCGCGATTTTGCTTAAACTAGAATTATCTTGTTATGATCGACAACCGTAGATATTTACTATTATTGGACTCGACTCTTGTTTATAGAACAAAATATAATTATTCAATTTTAGTCATGGGAAAAAAAAGTTTATCTTAATTTTGAATCTCTCTTTTTGTTATTAATTTCTTACTATTATATATTTAGAAAAAAGAGCTTGTTTATAGCAATAATATAATAGTATTGTAGATCTTTGGATGGTATCAATATGTTTTTATAAGTGTATTTTACTAAAAAACAAATTAATAATAAGTGAAATAAATCATTTTATTTTTTCTAGGCTAGCCAACCTAAAGTTGAAAGCGCGATAAAAGTTGACCGCGAGAAAGAAAAGGTAGTATTATTATACAAATATTAAAGGCCAATGCAGCCTACTCCAATAGGCAGTGTGCTACATTTTTTTCACTAGTCGTAAAAAAACAAAAAAATGCTAAATTTTTAAGTTATTTTTACATAAATTAGCATTAAAAATCCATAATTAATTTTTATTTTTTATTTTTCATGATAAAACGAATTTGCAGTAAACATCTTAATATTCATTGTATTATTTTATCTATATATTATTATAGATATTATAGTCTACTTTCCAGTTAAACCCTAAAATAAAATAAAAAATTTCCTCCTCCAGTGAGTAAATAATTGGTGTAGCTATTACCTAGAACTATACAAACTAAGTGTATTTTAAGATAAATACTTTAATTCTGGCTATGTGGTAATAAGTAACATATGTGTAGTGGAATTGTGACAAAGCTTTACTGGCATCTATAGCGAATTTCTAAGTTAACAGTTTCAGGATAACAGCTTGAACTATAGACACATAATAATGGACTAAAAAGGTGTTTGTTAATGTACATGTTTGAACCAACAGAAAGGATCAGTGAAAAGTGATCTGGATAAGATTTAGCAGGAGATATCATAGGAATATAAGACGCGAAGTATGTGTGGTAGTTAGTTCTTAACAGTCAAATACTACAATCTAAGAAGAAAAAAAATAAATATTGAATTGAATTTTAGTTCACAAAAGTTAAATATTCAAAATTTCTCGAATCTTGTTTGTTTTTGTACCGACCATAACAAAATTAACGTTTTCAATTATACAATTTGTAAAATTAAAGTAGGGCTTACTACCGTCATACACTTAAGTATTTAACCGTTGATGTTCATTTTCAGCTAGCATTGATCCCCGATGATCCAAAAATTCAGAAGATGAATGTTGATTATACAAGAGATCCTCATCAAAAAAGTAATACTTATAAGACCTATCATAAACATGTGGAGTGTACAATATTAAATGAGTTTCTTCTATTGGGAAACCAACTTTTGCTGTAGCAGGTGCAATTTTCTAATAGTCATTCCTTGCAATGATAATATCGTAGTTTAAATTTAAGTAGAAGATTTTCTATAATTAATGGGAAATAAATTGAGGTTTTCGGAAAAAGGCCTGTTCGAGGAAAATGTTTCGTCCCCATGAAATACTAATAACTTATGAGTAATATAATATATAACATAATAGATGGTATCTTGTTAGTAATAAGTTACCATCTAACAATTAAAATAACATAAAAAATTTGATCGTCCATCAATACCATTTATAAATAATATTAAATTAGTAATTAAAATAAAAATTGCTTATACCTATGTATATATTTGTTTACAGATCAATTAGATGCATTATACCTGTTTTAATGGATTGAGTTCAGTAATTTGTAATGTTACTGAAAAACAATATTTCCATATACATTTTTGTCTTATTAATTTAAATTAAAAATATTTTATTTTTAAATAAAAATAATATAATCTCTATCTGTATTCTTATGAGTATATTTGTGTTTACAGTTAATAACTATTATTATAAATACTTCAAAATTACTTTATATTATATTATACATTTTTACCTATCACTATAAATGTGTTGCATCATTATCATCTTGTAATATAAATTGCAGATTATTATTATTGTAATTTGTAGTTTTTTTCTTATACTCTTGAATCCTTTTCATGTGTTAGTATTTATTATTGATTATGAATAGATGCTAAATAATAGGTTAGCCTAATCCTTGGCTTGTTTATACTCTAATAAATAAGTCTTTCAATTTATTTTAAACTCCGTATTTATATTTAATGGTTTTTAAAATATAGTAGTACATTAGGAAGTGATAACAAATTTTTGGGTATCAAAATTCATAACCTGACGTACACGGAAATTTTATGTTGTAACTTAATTGTGGCTCTTGTATAAACAATGACAAAATATGAAGGATACTAATTTCAGTAAATAAAACATAACTCTAAAATGCCTTTTTATTGAAAATATTTAGTATGATTTGCTTTGGCATTAGTATAAAACAAAAAAAGAATATTACAATCATATAATAATTTAAAAATATTTAATTATTTGATTATTACACAGATTCATGTGTACAAGGCAAAACATGTACATTAATAAAAGAAATCGCTTCGAAGTGAGTCTTTGGGTACTAGACCCAAATTTGGCGGTTTCTTACTTTGTTGGTTACACTGTACTTGGTTTAAAACGTACTGGTTTTTTTATTGTGTCTGAACTTACAATAACCTTTTCCTGTAGACCGATTTATTCAAGTAGGATTTCTATAGATCCAAAATCGTTTTTCAACCGTTAACTCTGATTGGTCAATCTTTACAAAAAACGGCCAGACCTAGTAAATTGTTTTAAAGAATATTGATTAGGCACGCCTCTATTTAGGCATTGCCTTAAACCAAAATTTCAACAACCCCCCATGTTGGCATTTTATTGTTTTTTCCTTTTTTTGGCGCAATTTTAGAGTTTAAGAGTAGGAAATCAGTTTGAAGACAGGTCTAACATATACCTATCATATAATATGTAAAAAAAAAAAAGTATAACTATAGATATTAGTTTTAATAATAAAAAATAATGTAGTGCATATTGTGAATAATGAGCGTTTTATATAAAATAATAGGTAGTTTATAAAATATAACAGCGATACTTAGTTTCTAAAGCTGTTTGAACAAATTAGTAGAATAAGACTTAACTTACGTCAGATAATAAATTAGATACCAAATGTGTGTTTACTTTTGTGTTTTGTTATTACAAAAAAAAACAAAAATCAATTGTATTGAAAGGCGTATTCAAAGTGGTTTTTTAAAAAAAATACTGTGTGTACTTAATTGTTTAAAAACAAACAAATAACAACACTATACAGTGCTCAGAAGTTAAAAAATAATTGTTTTTTAACACGAAAACAATGTAATAGTTAATATTTTATTATCATTTAAAACGAACATGCCGAAAAATTGTTTTTTTGTTCACAGTCTTTAATTCTAAGTCGTCGTTGTTCGTACTGTTGACTCCGAGATTAGTATTTCTATTTTTCTTTTTTATTAGCTGTTGTTAAAAATGAATTTCAAAAACATAATTACCATAACAATATTATTTGTATTTATTAACTACGTGGCCGGAGGTTTAATTTCCGCAGGTCTTGCGTATGCAACATATAAAAATCAAAAGGTAACACAATAAAAATTGTATGATGATTGTTGTATAAACAAGAGTCAAGTCCAATTATAGTAAATAACTATGGTTTGTCGATCATAACAAAATAATTATTTTAGTGATAAGAAAAAAAACTAAACAAACGTTCATTAACCGTTTCTGTATTTATAACCGAGTTATCTTGTTATGATCGACAACCGTAGTTATTTTACTATTACTGGACTTGACTTTTGTTTATAGAACAAAATATTTTGTATATTTTAATTTTGAATCTCTCTTGTTGTTATTTATTTCTAACTATTATATGAGCGGAGAAGAGAGCTTGTTTATAACAATAATATAATAGTTATATGGATATAATAATATATTAGTTATGTAGATACTTGGATGGTAAAAATACAAGTTTGTATTTTATTAAAATAAAATATTAAAAAAAATAAAAATTGATAATTTTATTTTTTCCAGACTGGCCAAGAAAAACTTGAACACATGATAGAAGAGGTAGTATTATTATACAAATATTAAAGGCCAACGCAGCTTATTCTAATAAGCAGCGTGCTACATTTTTTCACTAGATGTTTAATGATTAAACTACATTTTTGATTGGGTAAACTAATAACTATTAAATTATAAAAATAATAATTTAAAAAATTTTTATATGATTTTGACTGGGTTAGAGTTACCAATCGACAATTAAATATTTTATAAATGTATATAATGTATAGATAATTAAACCATTTTAGGAATATTCAATATTTTGCTTATATGTATATTAATTATTGTATACTATAATTGATTTGAAGTCACTTACGACAATACTCAACATTGATTTTAAACTAGAGTTTTAGAGCCGTATAGAACACTAAATTTTCAATTTTGTATACATAAAATTAGCATAAAAAATCTATAATTTTTTATTTATAATAAACATGTTTAATCATTTTTTTTATTTTGGTTTTGCGTGATACAATTAATTTGTAGTCAAAATCTTTTTTTTTAATTCATTGTGTATTCTTTTTATACCTAAAAATTATAGATATTATAGCCTTATTTTCAGTTAAACTCTATAGTTGGCAAATATAATAAAAATTAAAACTTCTTCCCTTCTATGTAAATAAAAAATAATAGCTGACAACAGTTATTGTGACGTTTAAAAATATATTACATATCCTATTTTTTTCTTAGAAAGCTGCTGAAATCGAGTTAAAACAAAGTATGGGTGTTATGCCTAACGATAATACCGTAAGTAAAAATTTGGTAACTTTTTAATATTGTACAAAATTATAAATACAATTATTTCCATATGTATAAATGAAAATGAGATAGAACTATGCATACTAAGTGTATGTATTAGAAGATAGCTGCTTTATTTCTGAGTATACTTAAGTGTATGCCTTATGATTTTTTTTAATAAATAGTTTTCGTAATATAAAAAACCGTTACTGAATCCAAAACAGTTGGAATCGAAATTTTACTTAAGTTAAAATTATCAACAACCGTAGTTATTTATTATTATTGGACTCGACTCATGTTTCTAGAATAAAATATAATAATTTTTTTAATTTAAGTCATAATTTGATCGTTTTAAATGCAACACATAATTTAAAATAACAGCGAAACGCTTTTTTGATAACACTTTTTTTGGTTATGTGCCAAAGCTAAGACTTGATTCGAACCCCATTTCCACCCCGACCCAACCCCAACTACATCCCTCATCTCTCATCTCTTATCTCTTATCCCTTATCTCCTATATCCTATCTTCTATCAGATACCAGCGTAACTCTTTTATTGTCACAAGTTTTTCGATATTTTTTGCTATAGTATACAACCCCTTTCCCACCCCCATGAAAATGTCAATATTTATGCAGCAATATTTTTCTATGACAAATTATAGTTTATCGAATTAAACATTTTTTTTTAATTTAAGAACAATTAAAAGCGTTAAATTGTATACATGTAAAGACTAAAACTCGAAGTCACTTTCTGAAATTTACTTTTAATACACTCTACTACAGACTACTACTACCAGATAAATTTTTGTCAAATAATGCCTATACGTTGCCCCTTAATAAATAGCGTTTTCCGTCTCCTTTCTCAATTCAGACATAACTTTAATATCTTTCTACTTATAAATCCAATACCGATAAACACTATTATATATTTTTAATGAGAATTTTGATTAAGATCATTTCACGAATGTATTCATGGGGGGGGGGCACGAATCGTGAACAATTACTAGTCGTTTGAATCAAATTGTAGTACTAATGTCGGGCTTTAGATTATTGCATTTCATGATGTCTTATAATAGGTTTTCATATTTTCTACAATCATATTATTTTTTAGGATTAGAGTAGAAAAGAGCATGTTTATAACAATAATAAAATAATTATGTAGATCTTTGGATGGTAACAATTTGTTTTTATAAGTTTGTATTTTACTTAAAAACAATTAATTGTACGTAAAATTAATTTTTATTTTTTTCAGGATACCCAACCTAAAGTTGAAAGCGCGTTAAAACGTGAATACATGATAGAAGAGGTAGTATTATTATACAAATATTAAAGGCCAACGCAGCTTACTCTAATAAGCAGTGTGCTACATTTTTTCACTAGATGTTTAATGATTAAACTACATTTTTGATTGGGTGAACTAATAACTATTAAATTATAAAAAAGAATAATTTAAAAAAATCTTATATCGTCTATGTTTTTGCCTGGGTTATAGTTACCAATCGACAATTAATTATTTAATAAATGTATATAATGTGTAGGTGGATAATTAAACCATTTTAGGAATATTCAAAAATTTGCTTATATGTATATTAATTATTGTATATTATAATTGATTTGAAGTCACTTACGACAATACTCAACATTGATTTTAAACTAGAGTTTTAGAGCCGTATAGAACACTAAATTTTCAATTTTGTATACATAAAATTAGCATAAAAAATCTATAATTTTTTTTATCCCTAATAAACATGTTCAACCATTTTTTTTTTTTGGTTTTGCATGATACAATTATTTTGTAGTCAAAATTGTTTTATTCATTGTGTTATTATACCTATATATTATAGATATTATAGAATTATTTTCAGTTAAACCCAATAGTTGGCCTTATAAAATAAAAATTAAAACTCCTTCCCTTCTGTGTAAATAAATATAATGGCTGACAACAGTTATTGTGGCGTATAAAAATATAGTACATATCATAATTTTTTCTTAGAAAGCTGCTGAAAACAAGTTAACACAAAGTATGAGTGTAATGCCTGACGATAATACCGTAAGTAAAAGTTTGGTAACTTTATAATATTGTACAAATATATAAATACAATTTTTTCCATATGTATTAATTAAAATGAGATAGAACTATGCATACTAAGTGTAAGTAAATCTCAATTATGAATCTGTCTTGCTGTTATTAATTTCTAACTATTATATAAGCAGAAATAAGAGCTTGTTTACAAGAATAATATAATAAGTATATAGATCTTTAACTGGATATTTATTTTTGTATGTTTGTATTTTCCAAAAAAAAATTAATTATACGTGAAATTAATCATTTTTTTTCCAGACTAGCCAAGCTAATATTAAACGCATGATACAGGTAGTATTATTATACAAATATTAAAGGCCAACGCAGCTTACTCTAATAAGCAGTGTGCTACATTTTTTTCACTAGATTTTTAATGATTTAATTTAAATTTTCGATTGGGTGAACTAGTAGCTATTAAATTAAAAAAAAAATCTCATATCGTCTGTGATTCTGATTGTGTTATAGTTACCAATTGACAATTAGTAATTAATATATGTATATAATGTGGAGGTATATAATCAAAACATTTTAGGAATATTCAATATTTTGCTTATATGCATATTAATTATTGTATATTATAATCGATGTTAAGTCACTATACCCACTATTGATTTTTAACTAGAATTCTAGAGCCGTATAAAAATATCTAGGTGTTTTTTTAACCGAGTTTAATCATTTTTTTTTTAACTTTTAGTACAGTAGAATACACTAAATTTTTAATTTTGTATACATAAAATTAGCCTCATATATCTATAATTTTTTTATTTCTCATAGGGTTTCAAAATTTTGTTTTGTTTTTGCATGATACAATTAATTTGTAGTAAAGTCTTTTTATTCATTGTAGGTATTATTATAATTGATTTGAAGTCACTATACTCAACATTGATTTGAAACTAATAATAACTAATAATTTTTTTATTCCTAATAAACAAATTATAAATATAATAGCCTTATTTTCAGTTAAACCTTAAAGTTGGCTTTATAAAATACAAATTAAAACTTCTTCCCCTCTGTGTAATTAAAAGATAACAGATAACAAATATTATTGTGGCGTATAAAAATGTGGTACATATCCATTTTTTTTTTTAGAAAGCTGCTGAAATCGATTTAAAACGTGGAATGGGTGTTATGCCTAACTATAATATCGTAAGTAAAAGTTTGGTAACTTTATAATATTGTAAATATTGATAAAAGATCTCATATCGTCTATGATTCTGATTGTGTTATAGTTACCAATCGACAATTAATTATTTAATATACGTACATAATGTGGAGGTATATAATATCTACGGTTTTTTTTAAACTGAGTTTAATCAATTTTTTTAATTGTGTATATATAAAATTAGCATCAAAAATCTATAATTCTTTTTATTTCTTATAATGTTTAACCATTTTTTTTTTGTTTTTGCATGATACAATTAATTTGTAGTCAAAATCGTTTTATTCGTTGTATTATTATATCTATATATTATAGTTATAATAACCTTATTTTCAGTTAAACCCTATAGTTGGCCTTATAAAATACAAATTTAAACTCCTTACCCCCTGTATAAATAAAAGATAACAGATAACAAATACTATTGTGGCGTGTAAAAATATGGTACATATCCATTTTTTTTCTTAGAAAATTGCTGAAATCGATTTAAATCGTGGAATGGATGTTATGCCTAACTATAATACCGTAAGTAAAAATTTGGTAACTTTATAATATTGTACAAAAATAAAAATGTTTCCATATGTATAAATGATAATGTGATAGAACTATGCATACCAAGTGAATATATTTGAAGATAACTACTTTAATTCTGGATATATGGTAAAATGAAACAAATGAGTGTAACAAACAAATATTTACTAGAAAAAAAGTTATTTAATTTGTCAAATTATTGTGGGCCGCCCTGTATAATGTGGAGGTAGATAATTAAATTAATTTAGGAACATTTAATATTTTGTTTATATGTAAATTAATTATTGTATATTATAATTGATTTCAAGTGCTTAATCATTCTTAATGTTGGTGTCAACTTAGTTTTTTTTGTAATTTTAGTACTTTTGACTACTTTTTATTTATCTAATACAAATAGCGTTGGCCCACCAAATTCTCATTTTACGCATTGTTTAATCAAACATTGTTAATAAATGTGTTGCACGTATCTTATTGTCTTTATTTATAACAGATATGTCCCTCCCACTTTTCTTCTGTCTACCTCTACCTTTAAATCTTTTGTAACCATATAACACTCTATTATTAAACTTAAATTTTAGTTAGATATAGTTAATTTTATATGTTTTTTAAGTATATTATTGACTGCTAAATATTTAGTTGTTTTCGTCAAACGTTTAGCAAAGCTAATAAATTTTAGTGATTTTAACTTAAAAGTTTATAGCTGTCACTTTACTTTATTAAGAACTCAATTAATAGAAATCATAGTACCTATGACTACCATGTTACAAGTATATAAATGTAAATATTATAAAATACCGAAATGGGATATTTAGTCTACACTATGTAACGTGACTTTTTGACTTTGACCACAAAACCTTATGGCTTTTTGAGAAAAATATTATTGATTATAATTCAAACGACTGATTGTTTTGTATTTATTTTTATATTATACTTTGGTAATTTGTAGTTATAATGTAAAATTTAATTATTTTTGTAGTGACAGCTTAAAAAAAAAATTAAGTGAAATTCCATGCTTATAATCTCAATTGTATCTTAAAACATCTTAAATATACTCAGTACTCACGCATAGTAATAAATTTCCAAAGAGGCTTCAAATGGAAAAATATAATTATAATTTATACCGGTGTCCCATTTTAAAATACTAATCCATGGGTTCATTGAAAAATGTTTCCAACAAAAGTTGTTAGTTTCGATAAGAACGATTATTTAGTAAACAAAAAAAAAACATGGTTTTCATTAAAAAAAAATGTTTTTGACCTTAAGTCAGCCATTTTAAATTTAATTGTTATTTAAATTGTTTTTATTCATTCATGGTTTTTATACATTTTTTTAATAAATAGTTTTAGATATATAGAAACCGTTCCAGAATCTAAAACAATTGGAATCGCAATTTTGCTTAAACTAGAATTATCTTGTTATGATCGACAACCGTAGATATTTACTATTATTGGACTCGACTCTTGTTTATAGAACAAAATATAATTATTCAATTTTAGTCATGGGAAAAAAAAGTTTATCTTAATTTTGAATCTCTCTTCTTGTTATTAATTTCTTACTATTATATATTCAGAAAAAAGAGCTTGTTTATAGCAATAATATAATAGTATTGTAGATCTTTGGATGGTATCAATATGTTTTTATAAGTGTATTTTACTAAAAAACAAATTAATAATAAGTGAAATAAATCATTTTATTTTTTCTAGGCTAGCCAACCTAAAGTTGAAAGCGCGATAAAAGTTGACCGCGAGAAAGAAAAGGTAGTATTATTATACAAATATTAAAGGCCAATGCAGCCTACTCCAATAGGCAGTGTGCTACATTTTTTTCACTAGTCGTAAAAAAACAAAAAAATGCTAAATTTTTAAGTTATTTTTACATAAATTAGCATTAAAAATCCATAATTAATTTTTATTTTTTATTTTTCATGATAAAACGAATTTGCAGTAAACATCTTAATATTCATTGTATTATTTTATCTATATATTATTATAGATATTATAGTCTACTTTCCAGTTAAACCCTAAAATAAAATAAAAAATTTCCTCCTCCAGTGAGTAAATAATTGGTGTAGCTATTACCTAGAACTATACAAACTAAGTGTATTTTAAGATAAATACTTTAATTCTGGCTATGTGGTAATAGGTAACATATGAGTAGTGGAATTGTGACAAAGCTTTACTGGCATCTATAGCGAATTTTTTAAGTTAACAGTTTCAGGATAACAGCTTGAACTATAGACACATAATAATGGACTAAAAAGGTGTTTGTTAATGTACATGTTTGAACCAACAGAAAGGATCAGTGAAAAGTGATCTGGATAAGATTTAGCAGGAGATATCATAGGAATATAAGACGCGAAGTATGTGTGGTAGTTAGTTCTTAACAGTCAAATACTACAATCTAAGAAGAAAAAAATTAAATATTGAATTGAATTTTCAGTTCACAAAAGTTAAATATTCAAAATTTCTCGAATCCTGTTTGTTTTTGTACCGACCTTAACAAAATTAACGTTTTCAATTATACAATTTGTAAAATTAAAGTAGGGCTTACTACCGTCATACACTTAAGTATTTAACCGTTGATGTTCATTTTCAGCTAGCATTGATCCCCGATGATCCAAAAATTCAGAAGATGAATGTTGATTATACAAGAGATCCTCATCAAAAAAGTAATACTTATAAGACCTATCATAAACATGTGGAGTGTACAATATTAAATGAGTTTCTTCTATTGGGAAACCAACTTTTGCTGTAGCAGGTGCAATTTTCTAATAGTCATTCCTTGCAATGACAATATTGTAGTTTCAACTTATCTACACACAAGGAAAAAATATTTTTCTATAATCACTGGGAAATAAATTGTGGTTTTCTGAAAAAGGCCTGTTTGAGGAAAATGTTTTGCCCCCATGAAATACTAATAACATATTAGTAATATATTAGATAACATAATAGATGGTATCTTATTAGTAATAAGTTACCATCTAACAATTAAGATAACATAAACATTTGATCGTCCTTCAATACCATAAATAAATAATATTAAATTAGTAATTAAAATAAAAATTGTTTATACCTATGTATATATTTGTTCACAGATCAATTTGATGCGTTTAACCTGTTTTAATGGATTGAGTTCAGTAATTTGTAATGTTATTGAAAAACAACATTTTCATATACATTTTTGTCTTATAAATTTCAATTAAAAATATTTTGTTTTTAAATAAAAATAATATAATCTCTATCTCTATTTGTATAAGTATATTTGTGTTTACAGTTGTATTATCATATAAATAACTATTATTATGAATATTTCAAAATTACTTTATATTATATTATATATTTTTATCTATCACAATAATTGTGTTGCATCATTATCATCTTGTTATATAAATTGCAGATAATTATTTTTATGTATTTTCATGTGTTAGTATTTATTACTGTTTATGAATAGATGCTAAATAATGGGTTAGCTTAATCCTTGGCTTGCATATAATTTAAATAAGTCATTCTATTTATTTTAAATGCCGTATTATGTTTAATGGGTTTTAAAATACATTAGTACATTAGGAAGTAATAACAAATTTTTGGGGATTAAAATTCATAACCTGACTAAAAATACACGTACATGTACACGTACAATTGAAATATTATTTTGTAACTTAATTGTAGCTCTTGTATAAACAATGGCAAAATATGATAGATTCTAATTTCAGTAAATAAAACATAACTTCAAAATGTTTTTTTATTAAAACTATTTAGTATGATTTGCTTTGGCATTAGTATAAAACAAAAAGAGAATATTACAACAATATAATAATTTAAAAATATTTAATTATTTGATTATTACACAGATTCATGATGTGTGCAAAGCAAAACATGTAAATTCAAATAGTATACTTTATATATATATATATATTAGTAGTATTTATTCAAATACTAGAATCCATTGCTTTTCATTTCGACATAAGTTTGGATGTCAAAAAGAGGGTCCTGGCTCTAATCTTGTGTTATATATATTTAAGATAGTTTTTACAATCTTTATAATATATGTAACGTTTAATAAGTACTAACCAAAGTGGTTAGTGACACAAGATTAGAGCCAGGACCCTCATTTTGACATCCAAACTTCTGTCGAAATGAAAAGCAATGGATTCTAGTATTTGAACTCAAGTTATACAGAGAAAATATAAAAGAAATCGCTTCGAAGTGAGTCTTTGGATACTGGACCCAAATTTGGCGATTTCTTACTTTGTTGGTTTACACTATGCTTGGTTTGAACCGTACTGGTTTTTTTATTGTGTCTGAACTTACAATAACTTTGCAAAAAACGGCCAGACCTAGTAAATTGTTTTAAAGAATATTGGTTAGGCATGCCTCTATTTAGGCATTGCCTTAAACCAAAATTTCCACAACCCCCCATGTTAGCATTTTATTGATTTTTTCCTTTTTTTGGCGCAATTTTAGAGTTTAAGAGTAGGAAATTTGTTTGAAGATAGGTCTAACATATACCTATCACAAAATATGTAAAAACAATAATCTATAGCCAAAATATTTTTTTTTAATGATAAAAAATAATTTAGTGCATATTATTGTGAATAATAAGCGTTTTATATAAAATAATAGGTATTGTATAAAATATAACAGCGATACTTTCTAGTTTCTAACGCTGTTTGAACAAATTAGTAGAATAAGACTTAACTTACGTCAGATAATAATTTAGATACCAAATGTGTGTTTACTTTTGTGTTTTTTTATTACAAAAAAAAAATCATATGTATTAAAAGGCGTTTTCAAAATGGTTTTTTTAAAAAAAAATTGTGTGTCTCAATTGTTTTTTGTTCACAGTCTTTAATTCTAAGTCGTCGTAGTTCGCTTTACTGTTGACTCCGAGATTAGTGTTTCTAATTTTCTTTTTTTGTTAACTATTGTTAAAAATGAATTTCAAAAACATAATTACTATAACGATATTATTTTTCTTTTTTACCAACGTGACCGGAGGTTTATTTTCCGCAGGTCTTGCGTATGCAGCATATAAAAATCAAAAGGTAACACAATAAAAATAGTATGATCATACATCGCAGTTATAATTTTAGTGATACGAAAAAAAAACTAAACAAACGTTCATTAACCGTTTCAGAATTCTACTCAGTCATTTTATTCGTAATACATTATTGAGGTCTTGAAAATCTACTTTTTATTTAAATTGTTAATTATTAATTTAGGGTTTTTATACGTTTTTTAATAAATAGCTTTAGATACATAGAAACCGTTGCTGAATCCAAAACAGTTGGAATAGCAATTTTGCTAAAACTAGAACTATCTTGTTATGATTGACAACCGTAGTTATTTTACTATTATTGGACTTGACTCTTGTTTATAGGACAAATTATTTTGTATATTTTAATATTTTAATTTTGAATCTCTCTTGTTGTTATTTATTTCTAACTATTATATAAGCAGAGAAGAGAGCTTGTTTATAACAATAGTATAATAGCTATGTACATACTTGGATGGTAAAAATACAAGTTTGTATTTTATTAAAAAAAAAATTAATAAAAATAAAAAAAAATAATTTTATTTTTTCCAGGCTGGCCAAGAAAAACTTGAACACATGATAAAAGAGGTAGTATTATTATACAAATATTAAAGGCCAACACAGCTTACTCCAATAAGCAGTGTGCTACATTTTTTTCACTAGATGTTTAATGATTAAACTACATGTTTGATTGGGTGAACTAATAACTATTAAATTATAAAAATAATAATAATTGTAATATAATGTCACATAATAATATAATGTGTAGGTGGATAATTAAACCATTTTAGGAATATTCAAAAATTTGCTTATATGTATATTAATTATTGTATATTATAATTGATTTGAAGTCACTTACGACAATACTCAACATTGATTTTAAACTAGAGTTTTAGAGCCGTATAGAACACTAAATTTTCAATTTTGTATACATAAAATTAGCATCAAAAATCTATAATTTTTTTTATCCTTAATAAACATGTTCAACCATTTTTTTTTTTTTTGGTTTTGCATGATACAATTAATTTGTAGTCAAAATTGTTTTATTCATTGTGTTATTATACCTATATATTATAGATATTATAGCTATATTTTCAGTTAAACCCTATAGTTGGCCTTATATAATAAAAATTAAAACTCCTTCCCTTCTGTGCAAATAAAAGATAATAGCTGAGGCGTATAAAAATATAATACATATCATATTTTTTTCTTAGCAAACTGCTGAAATCGAGTTAAAACATTGTATGGGGGTTATGCCCAACGATAATACCGTAAGTAAAAATTCGGCTAAAACTTTATAATATTGTACAAAAATATAAATAAAATTATTTCCATCTGTATAAATGAAAATGAGATAAACGGATGACAGTAGACAATTCTGACGAGAAATTGCATTTGGATGCAAGGTTTTTGACTCGGGCACCCCGAGCAACTGTTTCATCTTTCCTTTTTTTGGCTTGATAAAACGCATGTCTCGCAGCGAAGTAGGACTTTACTGGCTTATAATATTTATTTAAAAGACCAATAAGTGTAGCATAAGTCTGAGTGTCTGGTGTGCTTGGAACGCATAAACTGAATACAATTTTATGAATTTCTTCACTTACTGATGAAAGCAATATGGCTTTCTTTTGAACTTCGTTTTCGATTCCGTTTGCCAGAGAAAAATTTGTCAGCTTAGATTCGAATATGGTCACGTCCATTCCACGTTCAAATGTTCCGGGTGTTCCAATTACTTGATTGAATTTAATTGTTTCTTTGGTTTCAACCATTTTTTTTTTTTTATTAATTTGTCGAACTTCTTAGACACGTAAATAATTTTAATTTACTATTTATATATATTTATATAAACTGCTGATATGTAACACTACATATTGAAAAATGTAGAAAAATATGTACCTACAAGTATGGGAAAAAGACCATTTCAATAATAAAAGTAAATGTTTAAAACTGTTATACCAATATTTATTCTGTGCTGTTTCGCCTATGTTGTGGGTCATGTTTTTAGAAGTTTACATATATATATTTTTTATGTTATATTGGTGGTTTTTCTCGTATTACCGAATATATTTCAAACGTTTCTGAACAAATCCGTAAACATTGATGATTTTTTAGAACCGCGGTTGTGTTGAAAACGACAAACCGACGTTCAACCAAACCTTATAAATTCAACGTGGATATTTATATAAAAATTATAATAACCCAATTTATCCGACTAATTGATTTAAAGTCTTACGGTTATTGAAGAAATCTAATTTTTTTAAAAATATTTCAAAAGGCTATGGATCTTTTGATTGACGTTATAAAGTTCAGTCAAATTCTCTTTTACCAATCACAATGACCTTGAAATATCATTGTATGGTAAAAAATAAAAAATGATTTACATAGGTGGTTTTATCATAACTTTAAAAAAATCGTCAACAAGTCATGTTGGCCTTGAAATTCTTAAGACGACGAGTATTTTTCGTACACCGTTATTAAAATACAAGTTTAACATGGGTATCTAAAAGATAGACACAGTCTTTTGGCTTTGTATAATATGTTTAACACAAACGAGCACTGTATTTCGTTTATGCAAACAGTGCAAAATTTAAACGCACATCGAATCACACACGTGTTTTTCTAAAGTAAAAGTATTATGTTTTCGATGGATGAAGTGAAACTTCTTTCAGAGTCTACAACTAACTGATACATTAAACTAGCGATATCATATTATTGGCCAGACTGTAATTTTTAATCACATATAATGAATTCCATAATAAGAGTTTCCAAAAATTATTCAATTTTTTATTGATTGGGTGGTAATCTAGTAAAAATGTCTTATGTATTTTTTATTATCCCATCCTTTATACCATGGAGTTCATTGAAAATATGTTGATAATACCCCTTGTTTGAACAATTTAATCCAATTAAATTTTAAAAATGCAATTGATCACCAATTATTTGAATAAAAATCCACCGTCAGTTGTTCCCACACGTTTGCTGAACTCAATAAACACAAAATTACAATTGAAAACGCGATATCTATTTATTATATATATATATATATATAGTCGGTAACGTTCAGCGTTTGCACAGATTTTCCAATTGACCCCCAGCCCAATGACATATCCATGACAATGACATATACAGGGTGATACATTAATGATAATACGCTTATTATTTTTTGAAAACATTTTTTTACACAAACTAAAGTGTCTCCAATTACCAAAACTACAAGAATTACAGGTTTTGGTAGC